AATTAATATGTATTTTGGGAATGTAATTGCAGATGAAGCTGTTTTGGAGAATGAACAGATTTTGGTCTTGCCTGGTTCTCGCATTTGATTAGGTAGAGAAACAAGCAACCTCAAGGGCAGGAATCTGATAAAATTGAGATCTTATGGTCGATGGTTGTTTACCCATCAATAGATACCAGTGCTTTTTCTTATAGATTATCTATGCATTCTATTGTCTTAATCTCAAGTTCTGAGGCTTGGTCTCTAGCTCTCCTGTATATAATTTAGTTTTGTTTGTTTTCTTCTAGATTTCTATTGTCAGCATGCCATTGAGATCTTATGGTCAATGGTTGTTTTCCCATCAAAAGAAATCTGGTAGATTTCTTTTGAGTATAAATGACAAAAAATCATCTGTGACTGGGCAAATGGTATGACTTTATGAGCAAGGAGGAGGATCAAGAAAGCAAGTGGTATTCAATGCTTGATAAACTAAGAGAGCACAAAGTGTTCAAAATTTCAAGATGTCCTTGTATGTTTTTGTTTACTTTTGCTTTTATCCTTCTTGATTGAGTGCTGCTTTTGGTGCGCTTTACGTAATATATGGTGCATTGCATGTGAATAACCAGAGCGCTTGCATGTTGTGCTTAAATGCACTCATTTTGAACTACAGTGTTTGAATTTAAAGGTTATGACAGCCTAAGGTAAAGAAAAAGATGTAAGAGTACGAATGAGCTAATTTATATATGCAACTGATACTGAGTTAGCATTGGAGGCAAGGAAGATCCAGTTGAGAAATTATAGCAAATGAACAATTATTGCATCTCATGGTGCTGGCTTTACATTATTTGGAGAGGAGTGGAACAAGGACAAGAATTTGTTATGGAATCAAGATTTGAGAAACTTCAAACATTATATGAAGTGTCTTGATGGTATTAATGCAACTTGAGAGAGATGACCTTTTTCGTGGATTTCTGTGAGCTCTATATGCTAATTTGGCCCTCCACCCTTTCATGAAGTGCTGGGGTAGTGTTGGTTGAGCATTCAAGCTGTTGATTGAAAATTGTCAGGGGCGAATGCGGACAGCTGTGATCTTGAAATGATTGCAAAACCATGCGATTGCTTTCTATTACTAAAATTTCCTATAGTCATTACTTGGTCAAAATGTCATCCTGTTCATAGTTTTCCCGTCCGCTGTTATTGGTTTTAAGAACTGAGCTTGTTTAGTTTGTATCTGCGCGCAAGCCTGATCAATACGTGATATGTTAAATGACATCTCCTGTTGAATGTATAGTGGTTAGAGAAGGTATTTTTTGTCCTTCTTGCATTGACTGGTTGCCCTACATTTATATATATATAGATGTGTCTTATATATATATATAGATATATATATGTGTGTGTCTTATTTAGTTTCCACATGTAGTTGGTCCCTTTAGGTATGCAGGTTGCACATCTCCCTCTGCTTGTAAAATGACTTGGTGATTTCTACCTGGAAGAAATGACATTTGTTTTGTACACCGTAACTTGAATTTAATATCCTTTGACAGAGCTGCATCAGTTTGGTGGGGGGCCTGTAGAATCAGAAGTGCCTACAACACCCTCGGACACAAAGCAAGTAGCAGTGCCTTCAAAAGTTGTGGCTGATGCTGTTGTTGGATCTAACTCCTGTACCTCATTCAGATAGTTATCAAGTTCCAGCTCAAAAGTTGTCTAATGTGATACAGAAGACTGGGCAGAAACCCCATCTAAAGTGGAAGGGTCCAGACAAAATCAGTAAAATATAGGCGACTGATGATCTCGAGTAGCTGGTAGATTTGTCAAATGCCCTGGAGAGGCTGGATATACCTTGAGCGTTAGGTTTGTGCTAAGCTTGAACTTGAGCCATTGTGTGATGGTTGTAGGGTACCGCAAGCCAAGCTTTTTCCTGAAAGTTCTTTGTGTTGTGGCTTCAGTTATGAATAACTGCGTTCGTTTGTTTGTTCCTTTGGTCAGCTTATAAGCTTTTTGGTTGAGCATGTATTCTAGCATGCAGTAGCTGTAACTTTAGTTGAAAGCACGCTTGTTTGTCAAATGTGTTCCTTTTGCTTTTCTGCTTTGCTGTCTCCATAACAAATCAAAAACTGCTTGCCTCTCCCCACCCTCCGCCCAAGAAAGCGCAAAATGCTAGAACCATGAACCAATCAGAATCCGTGATTTTTGAGTTTATCACGTATGGAAACCATCTCTTTAGCATGCCTTCCAACATACCATCCCTAGTTGATTCACAACATGCAAGCTCAGTGGCTAAATCCCTCCTTGAGCTATAGGTGGAGGTTCAAATTTCACCTGCAGTGAAAAAAAATTCAAGGGTGGTGCCAAATCACCCTTTTGATCTAGTCAGTTTTGTATACCTGTTAGTCTCTAACACAAATCTCTTTAGGACTAACACAAATCTCTTTAGGTTCCCCTTCTCTGTAGACTAGAATAGAATAGGTTATATAATTATTATCGTTGCTCGAAAAAAAAGGTTGATTCACAACGTGTAAAGGGAAGCTGTTAATTTTGATTTAGCATGTTACAATTCTTGTCTCGCATTGGTGAAAGCAATCAATGAAGTCAACTCTATGCTGCCATTCTTAGATTTTAAACGCTCAAGTTTCGCGTAAACAACTCTTGCCAGAAGGGAGAAGTTGAGTTCAGTTTTACCGTTGCATCCTTGAAAGAAGTTTTGATGCAACATTGCTGTCTTTCCTATGAAATCCTCTCTCCCTTGATGGCAAATATCTTTAATTCTTCTAGAAGTAAATTGGCAATGTGAAGATATGTCGAGTTTATTACCAAAATAACTCTTCTTCTAGAATATATACTCAAAGTAACTTAATTTTAAAACTTATTACCTTTGTGATCATTTTTTGCCACTTAGGTTGCATATGTGTCAGGATAGAGATAAAGACGCCCTCCATTTCTCTTTCTCATCTAATATTTTTTTTCAATTTTCTCTATAAAGCTTCTCACATTTTTTTATTTTGTTATCTTTCCCTTGTCAAACATAATCTAAAAAGCCAATCTTTATATTAACAGCATCTAACAAATATGTTTCGCAAGTCGATAATCTTAAGGTAGATGAAAATTATTTTCGTCTTTTCAAAGAGTAGGAAAGATAACATAAACAAATATGATAACCTTGAAATTTTTGTAATTGATTACAATTTTCGTTACAATTTTTGGTGCAATTTTTGTATTTTTAAAATTATTTTTTGAAAAAATATATATGCAATAGGTTTGATACATTTAAAAAAATTCGGAGACCAATAATAGTAAGGTCAATAATGGTAAAATTTATTTTAGATAATTATAAGGAAATTATAAAAGTTATGCAATCTTCTTGTGCCTCTATAATAAAAAAAATTAAAATTTTAGTTAATGTTGTAAACTATAAACTGGATTAGAACTTTCCTTTCTTGTTATCCTACATGGCAATTAGGATAACTGGATGGGAACAATAATATCATTATGGTAATAAAATTTGAAAGTGAATCACATTGGGAATATTTTTTAGGGAAAATGACATGTTTCATCCTTCACATTTCGTAAAAATATTTTTTTCGTCCATCACATTTAAAACGAAGCAAATTGGTCCTTCACATTTAAAAATCCAAGTTTTTACATCCTAGAAATAAACTCACAGTAGTGAATCAAACCATCTAACAGCCCGGTTACAAATTTTGGGGATAAAATTGATAGATCACTTGCAAAAACATATTTCCAACAAATAAATTAAAACAATTAAAAAATCTTAATTAAAACCCATTTGTTTCTTCAAAAGAACGAAACAGTGCTAAGGCTCTCAAGGACTAAACCCTTAGTGCAACAAAACTGAGGAAGATGTCTAAGGGTTTAGTGCTTGAGAGCTTTAGCACTATTTCGTTCTTTTGAAAAAGCAAATGGGTTTTAATTAAGATTTTTTAATTGTTTTAATTTATTTATTGGAAATATGTTTTTGCAAGTGATCTATCAATTCTATCCCTAAAATGTGTAATTGAGTTATTAGATGGTTTGATTCACAACTGAGAATTTATTTCTAGGATGTAAAAGCTTGGGTTTTTAAATGTGAAGGACCAATTTGCTTTGTTTTAAATGTGAGTGATGAAAAGAATATTTTTATAAAATGTGAGAGATGAAACAAGTCATTTTCTCCATTTTTTAGTAAGAGTGTGTTATTTTGGCAAAAAACTCAAGATATGTCCCTATTGGTGGTTGCAAGACAACAATATTAAGAGCAAAGACAACACTCCTCATCATCCATCCTCAGACGACTCGCTCAATTCCTCTGATTCTGACCAAAGATGAAAAACCAACTTGCCACGTTGCTGAACCATATTGAAACTCAAATGTCTGATGTTCTTTGCAAATGAAACAAATGCATGCCCCTCCTTCATTCTCTCCTTCTCAAGCAAATCATGCAACTCACCAAACATGAAAAATCTACCGACCAAATTCACAGTGTAATCAAACTAATCTCCTTGGATCTGTCTCTCTCACGGGTGATTGAGTCACTTCATTTTCTTGGGGTTTTCTTTCGTCCGTACAGAGCAAGAAAAAAGGCCGCCAAGGCCGGAATAGTCAATATCCGGCCAACACCCCCCAAAAAAAGCATTAAGCTTTTCTACAACTTGCCTTGCCCTCTTTTTTCTTTCTTTTTTTTTTTTCAGGCAATGTCGAATGATGGCTCTCTCCGGCAATCAGTTCCAACACCAGAATCATACAGCACTCCACCAATTACCATAGTCATAACAATCATTCTTCTTGTGTTTTTCTTTGTGGGATTTTTCGCATTATACTTTTGTAGATGTTTCATGCAGAATCTAATCCTCTCTTGGCACCTTCGTCATAGTCCTGCAGCCACGCCTATCGTTCCAACACATCCACAAGACAACCTGGGATTGATCCCAAAATCATACAATCTTTCCCTGCATTCACCTATTCCATTGTTAAAGATTATAGGAAGGAAAAATATGGGCTAGAATGTGCCATCTGTTTAGTTGAGTTTGGAGATGATGATCTTCTTCGACTTTTGACAACATGTTGTCACGTTTTTCATCAAGAATGCATTGATCTATGGCTTGAGAAACACAAAACTTGTCCCGTATGTCGAAGAAGGCTCGATGAATCGCCCGAGAAGTCCCGATATCATTCACGAATACCATGCGTCTCATAAACGGAAGTGAGTCATTGCCTGAAAGTGTTTCCATCACAGTAAAGGATGAAACTGAAGATGAAAGAGGAGGTAGCGATCGCGGCGAAAGGAGGACTTCTGCTACGGCTGCTGATCACGTTCTAGTTGAAAGGCGGAACAATAATACTGAGCTGGAGAGATTTTCAAGATCACATTCAACAGGACATTCAATAGTTAGGACTAAAGGATCAGAAGATCAGGATAGGTTTACTTTGAGATTGCCAGAGCAAGTTCAAGAAAAAATTATTAAGGGACATAATACAAGCAGAAGTTGCACTGTTTTTGGAGAATATAGAAGCCAAGAAACCACAGGAAATGGTGGTTTTGGTGAAGTTTCAGGGCTATCTGGTGCAGACTTCAACAAAGATTGACTGGATTGTTTTTGTCCTCCTTCTCTTGAGCTAATCTCTTTTCCTCCCTCCCTTCTATTTTTTAATTTTGGTTTTATCGAATACGCGTCCATCATTGAGATGCTTAAAGATTCATACAGAGAGTAGTATATATATATATATATATATATAAATATATATATTTCGTTGATTGCAAATTCTGCTCTATAGAAATTCTTGAAAGCTAATATTGCAATTTCTTGAATATTTATATAGGGAGAATAAGTGAAGAACAAAATATGGCAGCGTTGTCCAATAATTCTTCATGTTCTTTCCATCGGAAGCATTTTGATATATGATCTTCGGTCATATGGATAACTGGTAATGAGTTTGAACTTTGAACCTGCATTTTGTTTTTTGGATGACATCTTAAAGAAGTATGACAAGCCACAGAAATTGGTATTCTTCATCTCTTCTCTGAAGAAAATCTTGACAATTTTTCATTACTTGATTTTAGAAAGAGTACAAGGACTCTTTATCAAATTACTTGATTTTAGAAAAACTAAAGGGTTAATCACACATTGCTCCCATGAGTTTTGGGAATAGTTACACTCTGCCACAACTTCGAATGTGCCCCCAAAGGTATCATGGTTAGTATTTCTTAAACGCTTTAACAATCCACATGAACACTTCTATAGCACAAAATTGGCTATACCAAACATTTCACTTTGTGCTTCAATTTAAGTATGTGCCAACTATTATAAGGTTAACATATAATTAATGCTTGAAATAAGAATTCCAAAAAATAAGTAACTAAAGAAGGATAGCTAATATTCGGAGAAAAATTTTACATTTTTTTATGAATATTATTTTTTACTCATTTTTCATTTACTTTTTTTTACTGCACATAGATGACATGTTAAAAAGTTTAATTTTTCTTCAAAAACTCTTCCAAAAGTGTAACTCAAACAACCTCTAAATCTGTTATTCAAAGTAAGAACCAAATATTCAAAGTGTAAATTTTGAATATTTTAAAGTGTATATTAGTTTAAAAACTTTGAAAAGTTTTTTAAGATTACTGTAGTTAGAGTTTTTAAAAAACTTATAGCAGACAAACTTGCCAAAAAACTTAGGTTCGAATTGTTATTGTTCAAAATTTTTATAGAAAAGATATACTATAACAATTTAATCTATATAACATAAAAAATAATTAAAAAATATATTTACAAAAAAGTAATAATTTTTCTGCGAAAAATCACAATCCAAACAATAAATACGGGCAAAAAGCCCACAGTGGGGCAGGAGCAGAGGAGTTAGGAGGGCGAACCCGGGAAACCCTCCCGTGCACCGCGTCCTGAGAGTGCCCCGCTTGGCTAGGACTAGGACCCCACGCGACCGGGCTCAGCGAGGCAGCTTCGAAATGAGATTGCATATAAAGGCGTCATTCTCTAACCACGCCTTGGAAATGGGACAAATGACAAGGACTTGGTTCCTACCTTCTCTCCAAACAACAGATCGTTTCATTGGGTAATTTGCAAATAATCCTAATTAAAAAGCTTACGGCATTTGATTCGTGGATTGTCAGAAAAATGGATTCCAATCTCAGATCCTTCAACCCCAACAAGCAGCTCAAAGAACAGTAGTTTTCTCCCTCCTTCACTATATTTTCTCTTTGAATTGGGTTAAAAATTTGTAAATGATTACCAATTATTCGAGACTAATTGAAAAAAAAAATGTGGACAGATTTGTGAGCAATTTGACCGGCTCGTCTATGCTCGAGCTCTTCGTTGTTATTACAACATTCTCCGTAAGAAACCCTATTCTTCTCTTCATTTTGAATTTTTCTTTTTCAAAGCTGTAAATTTCGGCTCTTTCCCTTGTTTTAAAAAAAATTTTGTGTTTGTGATTTCAGTGTTTGGTACTTCTAAGACGAACCTTTGGCTGTGATATCATGGTTGGTAAGTATTATACGCATTGTTGAATTTGTAAAAAAATAAAATCCGAACTTTTGCAGCAGTTTGTTCGGTTAGTTCCATTGCCTTGATTTCATGAAGTGAAATTATTGCAGCAATTGTCTGTATGTCTGAACAAAAATTGATTACGTGCTGGTGCGCAGAGTTTATTTGTCATTCTGCTTTAGATGATGTTTTAAGTGTAGTTGGAGAAGAAACTAGGGTTGGCAGGTTCCATTTGGTTGGGTGTTTAAAATTAAAGTGGATTACAGCTTCCAAATCCTTTGAGAAGTCTACATGCATTGCATCTTATGATTTGGAGGGAAGAACAATTCTTGAGGCCTTAGTTTATAAATTTTTTGCTTTGATTGATTATGAATTTTAAAAGAAGCATGTTTAATGGGTTATTTGGCTATGGGATCGGGATGCATTATGTCAAATAGTAATTATAATTTTAGTTTCTCATTCGTGTTGTGTGTTTGTTTTGTTGCATATTAATTTTATGCATATAGAATGGAATTTTGCTTGATGATCTCAGGGATGCAAGGCGCTATTATTAGCATGCTATCTGTTTATTGATCAGGATCTCTTGTTTATTTAGGTCATAATGCCACAGAAGCCTCTATGAAGAAAAATGAAGAAGTTGTTGGATATAAGAGCCTGAGGGCTTTTGTTGCTGTGATGGTTGTAGATTTCTTCTTCATCCTTGCCCCATTTACTTTATTTCTTACTGTAAGTGCTTTGTCCTGGCTATATGGAAATATGTTAACTCTAGTTTATTTTTCAGCCATTTTGTTTGAATGTAATGTATTTGCAAATAATGGTGGATGTGGAACCAGGGGATTCATTAGGAACAACTAGCTGTATTGAAACCCTCACTTTCTTCTCCACATACACATAAGGAATACACGTCCTTATGTGCTGCTTTCGCGGGGCAGCATTTTGGGTAGGGGCCTTAAATGCCACACTATACATGTCAATCCTTTGGAAAGATGGGTTCATTCTTTGTTAATTCTTTTAGAGTTGCAACAAGTTTGAGGTCCTCAGGTACTTGAGTGAAGGTTTTGTCTTGAGATATTTTTGAAAATGGTTTACTCAATGAGGTTGTTGACTGATGGATGGTTGGTTGTCAACTAGTATTAAATAGGCAGCTTAATTGCCTGGACTTCAAATTTCTTTTCCAGCATATGTAGATCCTTTATCTTTCTTTCCATGGCTTTTGCACACAAAGTTATTGTAATTGTTGCTGACATCTTTTTGTTATAGGTTTTGTCTGAATGGATATATTTGATTGCAACTTCGCTGATCTTGTTGCTGCTTATCTCTTTTTCAGCTAGAAGGTGAATGCATATCCATAGAATTTTTTGTGTTTTATCTACGTTTGTGAATTTGGTTATGCATTTTTACCTGCATAACACCAAAATATCTGGATACATGTACTTTACAGTTCATTTGGAATAATTTAGTCTATGCAAATTATTACATTAGAAACGTATTAATCCTCCATACAGATTTAGATCTTCTTCTTTTCAGGAAAGTGGTGTCTTTTCTTTTAGGGCAAACATCTCATCTTACCGAGTTGCTATGGTATGCACCTTGTCTTATGATTAAATACATTGTGGTTTTTTTTTTTGTTAAGGTTGCATTATTTTTCCTTGAAATTTCCAATTTTGGCTACAAGGGTAATTGCTGCAGATGCTTGCCACGTGCTTGTGTATTTTGGCTGTTGACTTCAAAATATTTCCTAGAAAATATGCTAAAACAGAGACCTATGGCACTGGTTTGGTAAGATTCTTGAGCTGCCTACACTCTTCTCTTTGATAGATATCTTTAAAGATAAGTGCCTGACTAAAATTCCTCTTTTCTTTTCTTTTTCCTGTCTATTAGATGGATCTTGGGGTGGGCTCATTTGTTTTAGTCAATTCCCTGGTTTCACAACAGGCACGAGGCAATTCAATAGTGTAAGTGGTTGTTTGTGCTTTCATTGTCTAAATGCTTAATTTTCTTTTAGACGGAGACTAGCCATTGATTTTGGACAATCTACTTACAATACATTTGAAATACTATGTTCTTTGGTTTTGCATGGCAAGGGTTTCAAAATTGACCAGTAATATATGCTCACTTTAGCTATTTTTTTGAAATGGCTGTATGATAGTGTCATACCTTGCATGCTTAGTATGGAACAGAATTGAATCATGCATATGCATGAATTCTGCAAGCTTATTTCAGTCCATTGATAATTGTGTTCTCTATTTGCTGTTGTTGTTCTGTCGTGTTTGTGCAACTTACAGCTTGCTGTCAAATGTTTGTAATTACTGTTTCAACACACTGAAAATCATGCTTCTTTCAGCTCAAATGCGGTTGACATTTTATTTTATTTTTTTGTTTCAGAGAAAAAAATCCATGTTTTCCCTTTTGTTTTGTGCTGTTAATTAGAGCTGATATTTGATTTCAGGACGCTCAGAAGTACAATCCGCTCATGTAGTCCTCTAATTCTTCTTGGATTTGCCCGACTGTTTTTTACCTCTGGCGTTGATTATCAGGTTGAATGCTTTGTTCTTTAAATCTATCCTCTATGGTACATTTAAATGCTTGTCTAACTGTATTTCAGGGTATGTTACCCACAAAAGCAGCAAATTAGTAATCAAAGAACTGAAAATTTTTGGTGGCTTCTGAGCTCTGATGTAACCTTGTGGCCTTTAGCTGGTTTTGGTTGTGTAGTTATTTTTGAATGTCTAATTGCTGTGGCAACTGGGATAGGGGGGTCTGGAAGTGGTTAGAGAGTGCTCATTGTCAGCTTGTATTTGACATCCCCTTTTACTGTGAGTGGGATAGTTATAGTTGCTCATTGTCATATTATTAGCTCTACTTTATCCTTGTATTCTGAGGTTTTCTATCCATGATTGATATCTAATATAGATGATGTAGAAGAACATTTTTATCTTTCTCCTTGCAGGTTCATGTCGGGGAATATGGTGTGCACTGGAATTTTTTTTACGCTTGCTGGTGTGTCAATCCTGACATCGGTGATAAATGTTCCTTCAAGATACTGTGGGCTTCTGGGTTTCTTTGTTTTAGTGGGTAAGATTCATATTTCTCACTTGCAGTTCTTTTACATTTTACTCAAGAAGATTATTGGCTTTTTTGTTGACATTGAGCTGAATTAT